CTCTCTCTTTCTCTCTGGAATCAATAGAATGGAGGTCATATTATGACAAGAATCATATTATTTATAAAAGGAGTCATCAACTTTGTACGTTATTTCCGAAGAAAGTTGTTTTCTGAAACGTTGTATTGGCCAAATACGTGTTGAATTTTGATGAAAAAGCTTTAATAAATATTTCAATGAACAAACCTGTTAAATATCTCATATTCAACATTTTTCTAATTTTACATATTTTACAATATTTATGTATCATCCTATAATCAATTTGAAATTGACATTATTAATTAAATATTAATTAGAGCTCTCATAAAATCGTAACAAAGCATTTTAGACATTACAATTAATGCAACAATTAGATTATAACGTAAACGAGATGTAACAGTAATTATTATTAATTAATTTTATTTGTACATACACAACATATCACGGTTTTCCGTGAATAATGCTCGTAACGTTTTCATGAATAACGCTTTGCATCTAACTATTCTTCATGATATGTCAGCAACATAATGTCTGCATTTAAACATGTATCTCTATAAAATGCAAAAATTATAAATATAATTTTTACATTATTTTAAAACATTTTCCCAAACATAATTACAGACCACTAAGTAAACCTATTTCAATATTATATCTATTTCAATTAAATTTATTTTCGGATGTCCCATGTTAGAGCGATAATAAATGTTAAAGTAATAATTTATAATCCGTGAAAGTCACCAGTATATATGTATATAAACAAAAAAGTCATTATTTTTTAGACAAGAGAGCAGACGTGCTGCAGAAAGTGGACGTTCGCGTGGTGGCGAACACTGTGTGTGGCGAGTGGTACGCGAGTCAGGGCAAATCAATCCAAATTGGACCGAAGCAAATGTGTGCTGGCTGGGAGGAAGGACTCAGGGACTCGTGCTGGGTAAGTAAAAAGACGTTGCAAATTTACGCGATCGCGCCAAACGCTCGCATGGATAACTCATTTTTGCGTTCACCCGCCGATGCTCGCTGGGCGCCGCTTGTCAATCGCCCGATCATGGAATTCATGGTTCGTCGGGCGGGCACGACGCGAATTTCAATAAATACCCACAGTACCGTGGTAATGCGCATACAATGCTGTTCGGGCATGATAGCCGACCATGCTGGATGATACTGGTCCCCGGTAATTGGATCGTATATAATTGCATTGGCCTCGCTCTGCGGATCTCTAGCATGGACCGGTATTTATGCGAAATTGTGACAAGGACTGGAGAAGGAACGATAATTCGTTCATTAAAAGAACGAAGAGAAGAGAGTTATTGTGTAAGCCACACGAAGAGCATTGTTGTGATTGTATTGCGTCAATTGCTCAATAAGACAAAAAGATTTTTATGTGCAAAATTTACATTTACACGAAAGAAATAAATGGTGTATAATCAAATAATTATTTTACATCATCTTTATATTGTAACAAAAAAAAAACAATTTTTGAAATAATTAGCGATATGTAATTAAATATATGTAGAAATTTTCTAAAAAAAGAAATTGATATAATTTCGATACAATTCGGTTCAAATATATCATCAATGCAAATACATAAATATGCACATATATTATACTTATTTAAAAATTGCCGTTTTTTTACATTATAAAAAAAAACAGAAGTAGTATACATTGTATAACAATGTCATGATAATTTGAGAATCGAACATGATTTCCTTTCTATTCCCTTGTCTCGTATCCTTCTTAATGGGGGATGAGATATAGGGACACCTTCCCCACCAAGCGAGTACTAAATTCATGTCGTCAATTGAGACTAACAGCAGTTCCCGCAAAAGCATTCTCCCGCGGGAATACTATCAGGACATTACCAAGTCGGCGTCCATTGGAACAAAAATGAGAATACCACCCTCGATCTCGTTCCCGATAAGTTTCTTTCTCGCGTCTTTGCCGCGCCCTTATCAGCAATTTATATTTCCTTCAGACGAAGATATTCTCGAGAAAACAATCGAAAACGGACGTATTGCTTCGAGATATATCAAGGAAGAGCCGGAGTCTCGAAAGTACAATCTTGCTGAAGGTTCCGATGGGAATTGAGATGTGCTAGATTTCCTGTTTACCTCGTTTGCGCGAGAACTACGATTGGCAACTATAAAAATTGATTTTAGGATATATTGAATGTAGCACGAGCAGAGTTGAAAAATGTTATATAATACATTTAGCGCGCCAAAAGATGATCAATTATTATTTCTCTAATAATTTCAGATATACTTTTAATATTTACTACGCAAGAGAGGAATTTGGATACGTAATATGATCACTGTTTTTTAACTTAATCTTGTTTTAAAAAATAAATTACGGATCTAAATTATATTACGTTTATTATTCAATGGAAATGTTTAACAAATTCGGTGGTATTCTTTATCGAAAATTGTGATTTTCTTTAACAAAAATCGAGAGATCTTTAAATTATAAACAATTAAATACTTTTTCTTCTTACAAAAAAAAAAAAAAACGAGAAAGAAATGCAATATGCAATTGTCTGAAATTATTCAGGCGATATTAACGCATTGCGCGAAATAAACTGGTGACAATAAATGTCGGACCGTTAAAAGCTCGTTTCCATCTTGAGAATTCCCACCGACGAGATTTACGATCCGGATCCGCGTGGAACGATACCGAAACCCATCGTGATGGATACTCCCGCAACCCTGCAATCCGTATTAGAGCAAGTGGAATTTGCACCGCATCGTTTACCATAACCACGGAAGCTTACGGGACGACTGCACGCATCCTGTACTTTATTCTAGGCTGACAGCGGCGGGCCTCTGATGGTCGGAAGTCGCCCTGCTGGGCCCTTGATGGTCATCGGAGTAGTCTCAACCGGTATCGGCTGCAGCAGACCACAACTCCCTGGCATTTACGTGAGGGTCTCGGACTACGTTTCTTGGATCACGCAAGAGGCACAATCTAGTCGATAAATTACAACGCGGAAGAGAACGCAAAAACGAGAACGCAAAAACCGATTTCACTATTTTGACAATTTCTGCTTCCATAGATGGAAATTATTAAGATTTATGTTACCAATATATTTTATTATATTTATGAAATATGAGAAAGCTGGCTAAAAATTAACAAATGTGATAAATGTGATTTGTCTGGAATAGCGGAGGTATTTATGTTATAACCACATCATTATCATATTTATTTTTAAAAGTTTATTATGCAATATTATTTTTTATACAAATATATGATAATTAATTTAATAATTAACATTATATTTTTGAAATTAATTGTTAATGAAATTATTGTTAAATTATGACAAATACGTCTAAATTTAAATTATTTTAAAATACAATTTTTAAGTCTGTACATATATATTTTGTAAAAAGATCAAATTAAAATAAAAGTAATGTATATAATGCGTTATGTAACAAAAATGTTAATAATCGATAGCTTTTGATATATAGAATATTTAAATAATCTCGAACTAAATGTACAATCATGTTTTATTATCATATATCGATTATATAATTATCCATAAAATATGGATATTATTTTAAAAAATATTGTTTTTAAAATATGATGCAAGAATTGAAATTGAAATAATATTTAATATTTATTATTTATTAATATTTATTATCGTGCTAAAATATTTTAAAATTGCCTATAAAAGATTGTAAATTTAAATTATAATTTATAAATTATATTGAAATATATAATCATGACTAATTCTATTCTAGCATAAAATTTCTCTATCAAAATATGATAAATATAAATTTATTATTTATTTTAGAAATTTATTATTTAGAATAAAATATATACGCATAAAATGCTATAGAGATAAAAAAAACGTTGTAAAAATGTTTTCGAGTAAATTCAATAATAGAAACTGATTAAAAAATATATGTATGCAATTACGATGTGGATTATTATAATATGGTAGAATTATATGCTATTAAACGATTATCGTTTTAACCGAACTGAAAAAAACACAATGAATTTGAAAAATCCTATTTATGGTTAATAAATCTAAAAGCATTTTTCGCGCATATTTTATTTTTTAATGAATTAAATTCTTTGATCAATTTAAAATAGAATTTTCATGCAAAAATATTCTAATAGCTTCTTTATTGAGATTTTTATCTTTATAATCATATATTTCTGGAATTATATTATATACAAATAAAAATTCTACGAAAATATATTTTATTTATAGAATCGTAACTTATTTAGCTCTCTAAATTTTAATTTTTCCAAGAACGACTTTCAATTACTCATAATTAAAAAATTTTTATTAACATTTTCGCTAAAAAAAATCGACTTTAAAAAATTCACTTAAAAAAATTCATTAAAAAATAATGCGTGAAAAAAAGAAATATTTTATATGCGTTATTTAATTAATAAAAAGAGAAATGTATGATAAAAAAATTATAGAAAGGGCGATATTTATGATGAATGTAATATCATATTACGAGTAATTATTGTAAAGTATATAGAAAAATTTCTACTTCCTTCAAAGTTATATTTAATCTAGTCATTTTTAGATAGTAAGTATAAAAAGGTATATATATATATATATATATATATATATATATATATATATATATACATGTCACTTATATACACAACATACATACATACATACATACATACATACACACACATATTTATGTATATGTATGTATCAGATTAGAGAAGAAAAAGAGACAATTTTTATAAAATATTTACCATTCTACCTGGTCCAATACCTTGTACTCGTATCCTTACTGTATTCACACCATATTGAATAATTCGCTAAAGAATGGACAAATACATATATTAAAAATAGATACATGCATCTTTTCTTGTTTAATATAATAAATCATACGTATGAAATTTCAGCAAATTATATTCAATATATACTTACATTACCAAAAGTTATAGCTGCTTGTTGTCCAGCAATGTTTGTACCTTTCTTTGCATTTTTAAAACCCTCTATCCCTGCTGAATGCAACGATAAAACTTTACCATTAAAATTTGTAAAAGTCATAATAGTATTGTTAGGAGTTGACTTTATATTGACAATATGCAATTCCTTATATGGTACACCATTAAAAAGTCGATTTGGTGTATCTGCATCAGGAAACAAGCATTCCCTAAAACATAAATAATATAAAAGTTATTTGATCGGTAGTACAAGAAATAAAACTTGACATGTTTTAATAATTGCATTAGTAACAATTTCTTGAATCTATATTATGTATAGCTAAGTTGTTAAACAAATTGAAATGTATCTAACATAAATTAAGATAGTTATACAAATTTATAAATATAAATAAAACTGGTGCTTACTGCTGACTAATATTGGTTGTCTCGGGCATAGTCTCTCCCTCCAATAATCCATATTTTGAGTTACCGACCCTTACTTTCTCATTCTGCATTCGAATTTCCTTGCTGCATAAGTGAGAAGTGCAAATATTCCTTGAGGTTATGGCATTCAAACGTGAAAATGCCGAAGCCAAATGCCCATCGGCTAACACGCTTTCCCGTAATCCAGGAAATCTAGTTAACTTTAATATAGATTTTATCATTTCGACTAACTAATAGTTAAATATATCAGCGTTTAGAATATATCAAGACATAAAAAATATATCAAGTTAATACGAATGCATAGCACAGCTGAACAATCACGCAGGCAACGGTGTTTACTAAACTATTGCCATCTCTGTGTCTTTAGCGGCGTTGCAAAGATGGAATTGTTATCGACACGTATGATAATACCATGTGTTTTGAAACAACTGATTTATCGATTCCTGGCGATCTTTCGTCCGACTGGACTCTCGAAAGAACGGTCGGTATTTATGAGTTTTTCAAATCTGACTATCGATTTGTACGTCGAATTGATGATTATTTTGTTCTAATCATTCAAAGATTGTTTTTACTTGATACTTTTCTTATATTTATCCTCACAACATTTGTTTTTGAGATCGTATAATTTAATAAATTAATAAATTCAGCAAATGTTTTGACCAAATTCGTTATGTTAGCTTAATCCAAAAAAATGCAATGCTTCTTTGAAAAGTCATCATAATTGAAATTATTAGCAGTATTAACAGTAAAATGCAGGATTGAATAATTCATGGATCCGTAATCATTTATCAATTAAAAATATTGTTTACGAAAATAGAAAAATTCTTGCAAAATCCCCATGCGGTCGATAAGACAGAAAAATAAAAAATTTTATATTTGTAATTATGTTTTGTTAAATATACAAAATATTGTTTTTTAATCAAGATACATTTTCGTATAAAGTATTTCTCTTGAGTACGCAAATTATATAAAATTTTTTTACACAAAGACAACAAACTTCTTTGAGATAAAAATTATTATAATTTTCTTAAATTAATAATAAGTAAGACATTTTTATAGGAAGCAAAGGAATTAAATATATCATTGTAAAATAAACAACAGAAATACAAGGATATAAAATATAAAATATAAAATTGTGATTAAAATTGTATGTTTTCCTGTACTAATTTTTATTTGCTAATTATTATATTTTGATTACAAATATATTTCTGAAAATTGTACGTGATGATTACTACTATAGTGAGTTTAAATAACTTTTATTTCATGCAAAGCAGCATGCATTAATCAAGGTATTATCACATCGTAGTCCACACAACTCAAATATTCATTCATGCAAACAAGTAAATAAATCAACATGATAAATTCTTCATATTTTACTCAGTCTTTATCTTGCAAGCTATTTTAAAAAACATGTTGTACTTTGTTGCAAGTAAAACATGCATAATCAATGGCATTGATTACATTTACGTATTCAATTGCGAGTAATACAATATTCAATATTAAGTTACAATATTAAGTTACAAAAGTTTCAATATAGATAATGCTCATTTCAATTTATATGTATACATAGATATATTTTATAGATATATTTATAGTGCAATATTAAATCGATAATATGATTAAATTTCAGACAAGTTGTCTCAAATTGAAAATAACTTTCCTTTGCATGAATAACGCAGCAATGACAATCTCCGCGTTTTAAATTTATTATCATATTATATAACTTTTGTTATTTATACCATGTATTTGCATATTATTTACATGTAAATTAATATAGTCCGTTCTAAAACTCATATTAAACAAAAATGTCATTAAAACGTTTGATGAAGAAAATGAAAAAAAATCTATTTCTGTATTTAAACACATCCTTATTCTACATGTGTATACTTATTTATTTAGAAAAAAATTTTTGCTTTTTTATGTTGTTAAAATTATATAATAGCAAGTTTTGTAAAAATTTAACGAAAATTATTTAATGAAAAATTTTATAATAAAATTTTAATTCACAGTTTATATCTTTAACGTAATATATTATAAAGTTATAACAAAGTTAGTGACAATTCGCTTGTCTTCGTTTACACCTTCATTTGAATGTTGCATTGAATTATACGTTTTCCTATTCGCCAGGAATTCGATGAGAATTCACTGTTAATAGAACTATTTGTTCGCAGCATTAAATCTGTTGTAACGGCTCTCGATTTCTTCCATTAGCGTTACCCCTCGAATGTCCGAAACAATGTGCGCGATTTCAATAGTGCGGAATTACGTATTAGTTATCATTAGGTAGATTGTGTTACCACTATTTCCCTTACGAGCCATTTCTGGTTCGTGGCTTCCCCGTGTGTAATAACACATGAATAATGTTACTACGATACGTATTGTGCGCGCATAAGCGTGCAACTCTTGCTGCCTCTCTCTTAATTAAGAAAATTCAAACGACGAATTCAAACCGAATGAAATGGTGCCAGTGGATACATTGCAATTGTTTGTGAGTTTAAAGGCAATATACATATTATATAACGATATACACAAAACATACAATTATTTAAATAATCAAATCCTCATTAGCCTGGCATATTAAATCGACATTATTAAGCGCAATTCGATACTTCGCAAAACATTAATTATACACATTTCACGCGCTTTAATATGCAATATTCGGAAATATATTTGCATCTTAATACTTTGCAATTAGAAAGTACAATGTTATGTCAGACGTGAAAATAACAGATATTCAAACAATTTTTCATGTATTTTAATATGCAATATGCCTAATCTTTTTACTCTCAACAGCAAAGTTGAAAAAAATATATGTACAGAGATGATAATCGTGATATTCTACCAAGGATGGATGTTTAAGCTTTCACGCGTTTTTAATTGCGCCAGTAACATAACGAATTGCACTCGCGAATAAATCTATTACGAGTTGCATCGTATCAAATGTACATGAAAGAAATGAATTTCTTCTACTTACAAATTAATACTTACGAATTAACGATGCTGATTTGGCGGCTTAATAAGGAAGCTTTCAAAGTGGAATCTATGTCATATACGGCGAGATTGCGCACGCTCGACATGCTCTCTCTCTCTCTC